AGAGAGGATGAGATCCAGCAGTGCATCTCTCAGAAGACTTGCACCTGGACAACACTGGTAATTCTGGTAACTTTCTTTAGCACAGCATGTTTGCCAGCCAAGTTGGGGGAAACACCAAAAGCACCTGTGCTGCCTGGCTGCTTCAGTCAGGGCCGCCACCCTCTCCTGTCTCCTGGCTTCAGCCACAGCTTGCATCTTCTCTTTGGCACACTCCATGAGGGCGCACTGAAGTCGGTGAGCCATGCGCTGCTCCACAGCTTCAACCTCTCTCTTCCACTCATCCTCCATGAAATGTTGCATTTCTGCCTTTGCCTTCCTCACCTCTTCCTTGAGAAAAGTTAAAAGTAGATGTAAGTAGTGGCAACAGCTTATTGCTCAGTTAACTTCAAACAATCCCCAGCAAAGCCCAGCAGAATGGACTCCATGAAAATATGGGACAATTACAGTGACTTATTGTAGCATCACTCCACATCATCTATGTTTTCTATGTAACACACAAGTTCCCTGATATATTTTCTTCACAAGCTCACATGGCCAGTGGCATGGTTTTAGAGTGAGATGGAGAAGCAGCCCAGACCTTGGTATGCTTGTCAGCACAATACTGCTTGGGCTGATACATAAAGGTACGACAACACTAATCTTAAATGGTATGAATATACATACACCTCAAATCTCAGACAACTCAATATATACCAATATACGTCTGTTGCCATCATAGACCATGCCAAACCTGACAATCTAGTAAAGCAATCCAACCCACTGAACTCACTGCCCAGTCATCTGTGCTGCTTTGCCACCATCCACAGTTCTTTCCAAGAGCCGCTGTGGAAGTGACAAGACATCACTGGGAAAGCTCCGGTTGCTTAGATCTTGGTGGGTTTTCTAATACAGAATTACATGAAGTTTGCCATAAATCTTTTGTACACCCAACTATAAGCTCTCTATTCTGTGTATTTTTGTGGATACTGGTTGGTTGTCTACTTCTGACAAGTGGAGTGACAGTTAATAGGACCTGAATACAAGAAGCCTAACTAAAGCTAGTTGACCATTAGTGTTGGTGGAACAGCCACATCAGCATTGCTGGAAGAAGCCATTCCTGAGGCTATCAGCTGAAAGCACTTGTCTTTGACCTATCCTACGTGTAAAAACACTTCAGCCACTTACTCAGTGATACGTCTTGGCTGCCACTATCTGTTTGCTTGTTCAGATGCTGAGTAAATGTTCTGCCACCACCTCTTTAAGCAAGCTGCTAGTGAGCAGTTAGTTCACTGTTAAGACACCTCTTAGAATGAACTGCAAGAAGCATAAGCCACCATATCCCAACCATCTTGCAATTACTTCAGTTATATCTACCTCTTCTTTTGTTTCAGCTGTAGAATTCTGTATCTGTTCCCTAGTCCTTATTCACTGGATTCAATGTTATCAGGATAAATGGTACATGTTCAAATCCTGAGCTCGCAGGTCTACAAAGATACATAATAGGCTTATGGCAAGTAATTGACTGGTTAAACACAAGGAACCAAGCTTCTGCCAACTATTACTGGTAGATGCTATGACAGCAAAAGACAGAGCTCTCTTGGAAAACAGCTCCATAAAATGGAATAAACTCTGCTGGAAGCTTAAGACCACTGCAAACCTCCCTGCTTTTCCTCTTGAGATGCCAAGCACATTGATTTGGCTGCCTGCAGTATGAACAGCTAGCTATTTCAAAACTTGTAAAATTACAAAGCAAAACACTCCAGCAATTCTTTGTGCACCCCTCATCTGTTGGTGAGAGACTGCAAGACTGAGAGGTGTTAGATGGACTGCATGATGCCTGACTGAAGAGCCCTTGGATGCTCTAGTGGTAAAATGTCCTGTGAAGCAGTGCAGAAAGCAGAAAGGCTTAGATCCAGAAGGCAATTGCCTTCCTTTATCTTTGTACATGTTTGTCAGGTATCCAAACATATAAAGCACATGCTAAGTATATCTAGAAATACAAAGCTACAGTTGTTGTGCTTCATTTAGAAATATCCATATGCTGGTAGTTTTCCTTCTCCACCCCACTTAAGGTCCACATTCAGTAAACACCTAACTTTGTTGAACATGAAACTTCATGATAGATTTAAAGTTAGGCCTGTATTTAACTGCCCTTAAGAAATGCACCTCATCTGGTTCAGTGGCTGGTTGAATCAAGGCCTAACACGGAATTTTCAACAAAGGCCACAAACTTAATTAAAAAAAAAAATGAGGTGTGCTGAAAGTGTAGTAAAAATCCAGCTTGCTCAAGCTTGCATCTCATCTAGCACAAAGACAAAGCCAGTCTTTCAGGCCAAGTACTTCTCCTGGCACTAGAGTTCACATCTCAGGTGAATGAAGGTCCTGGTTACAGCAAGCATTAAGAAAATACTTTTTTTTTTTTTTCACATAGAATGACATTCTTGGTTGTCACAAACATGGTTCTGGCATGCTGGCTATTTCCACGGAAATGAAAGCAAAGTGGTTCATACCTTTAATTCCTTTCCAAGTTTTTCTTTAAGGTCTTGTACAAATGCATTGTGGTTAGCGGCTGCCTCTTCAAGAGCTTTATCCACGGCATCCTTCTTGTATGTTTCAGCCTTTAAAACAAGTTATTATTTAAGTATAGCAGTGTCATATCCTATTTACGTCCTATTAAGATGAAGCAGAGGTTACATAACCAATAATTCTGTGGTTTTCATTTGAAAAAATCCAAGTTAGCTAAATTGAAAACCAGATGGCAATTTGCCCATTTGGCAATTTTATTGCAGTGATTCCTGTTAAAATGTGTCCACAATATAGCACTGAGTTGTGAGCTGTAACCACTGTACGCCTATATAACATAAAGAGCAATTCTTACCTAGCACTATAGGGAACAGCTTTAACAACCAATAACTTCTGTGTGCTTTAGAGGTAATTTTCAGATCAGATGTAAAATTTGTTATTAATTCAAATCATGCTTTGTTGTGATCAGAAACTGGAGAAATACATGCACACAGAAATCTATGAACAAAGGATGAGCTGAAATTAGTGACAGCTGTAAAGCAGTGACTTCAAAGTTCTTTATTAACTGTCTTCTCACTATAGCAATCATTCCAAAGAATCATCATCATTTAAATGACAGGAGTGTAACTTCATTTACCTGAGCCCAAAGTTCAGCTTTCATTTTTTTAATGTTCTCTTGTATCTCTTTCTCCTTCTCTTTCTGCTCATCTTGTTGAATGCCTGCTCCTATCTCTGCACAATCAACACAAGCGGATCATGTACAGAAAACAACCAGAGTGCAGAAACCTGCAGAAACTCTTCTCTCCCAACCCCTTTGCTTGGCTTTGCAGCTGATTAAAAATAAAAAGGCTAAAAACTATGCACTTTCAATTCACATATAGGAAAACACAATTATTATTGCTTGTGCAGTTCCATAAATGTAATAGGAAGGTGCTGAACCCCTGAACTGGTCTTCAGCACCAAGGATTGCCCAGAAGAGAAACCACTGCAGAGAGAGGTGGAAAAAGATGCCTTTCTGCAACCCAAAACTCCCCCCCAAAAAGTGGGATTTCAGATCCTCTCCCTCTACCTTTCCTACTCAGTGCCAAGCCTGGGCATTGCTTTGGATCCCATTCTCTGTGCTTGGCAGGGCCAGAGTTACATTTTTGCTTTTTATAAAGGAAAATGAAAAAGGAATAGAGCCACGAGAGATCTAGTTCCACACAGCCACTGGAGGATTAAGCGTCCCTCTTTCACTCCATTCTTTTTCCTCACTCCATGTGGGTGGGCAGAGTCCTCTCACAGCGCTAACACAAAGTACACGGAAAACAGTAGCAGGATGGGATGAAGGGGTCAGCTTATTTAAATCAGCAAAATAGAAGTCCAACAGTGCATAAATCTTAGCAACAAGCATGTTGTGCTGACTGCATAGCTTTTCCCCAGTCCATTATATTAAGCAGTAAAGAGAAAATAATTTAAAAAGAGACTATGACCTTCTGGGAGTGTTTTAGGTTGTGTACACCAAAGCAGGGCTGATGCCTCGTGTTCCGAGACGTGCGCAGGCACTCACCCTGCTGCCGGGGCTCTCGGTACAGATAATCTCTTGATATTGTTTAAAATAGAAACTGAGCACACAATGCACGTTAATTAAAACACACAGCATGATTTCTACAAAACTTGACACAGCTGATCAGAAACCTCTACAACAATTAGGCGTAGCATATAAACATACTTCATTCTTGCTAGATCCTCAAACATATGAATGCTACCATATGCTTTCCTTCAGCGATGAGGTTATGATGGTGGTAGGACAGCAAAAAAAAAATCAAACCTCAGGAGGCTCTACAGAGCCTCAAACTAAGGTCAGCAGCCAGCATCAGGTATAAGAAGGCAAGATTCAGGATAAAACATCCCAGCTGTGCCCCGCTGAAGGATGAGAGGATGATCTTTGCAAACATTAAGTCAAGCATAGTTTTTCCCAAAGTACTTGAGCCTTAGAAAGTATTTGCTAATGCTATTACAGCTAATTTTGTTTTGCACTTCATTATGCCCAAATCTGAATGCCTTCATGCACCACAGGATGGCTGAGCCTGTCCCCTCTCTGAATATGCTGGATTTATTAATATCCAGAAGGTAAGTGCAGTTCTTTCTTACCAAGATGTGACTGTCTTCATGACTGTCAAGAACAGATGGATACGACAGCTCTCTGAGTTATCCTAAATCTCAGATTGCAAGGAAAGGATTTCAGAAACAAACTTACCCAGGATATCACGATGTGTGTAAAACCGTGTTCTGAAAGGCTTATACTCCCGAATCCGATTAAAAGTGGCATTGGAAGGTGGTGGTAGTACTTTTGAAGATACAGCACAACAGACAAAGGAGTCCAGATCGGAACTTCTAATCATTGTGGTACTTCAGTATTTTTCTGTAACAGTTACTAAAATGTCAGAACACTGTTCCTGATCGATCTCTTGCTTGCAGGCATAAACACTTATTGTTGCTACAGAAAACCTGCAAGCCAATGAAGAAAGAAAAATCACTGACGATTACTTTTTACCAAGTTAGCTGAAACATCTACCTTCAGATTAGGGTTCACACAAGTTGACAACTCAGCAGCATGCTGTAGGCAGATGGTGAGGGAGAGTGGTATGAAGAGAACCCTTCCAGCCTTAGCGTCCCTCCCTGAGTAACAATAGCAACAGTTACCAGGCAGCGCTGGCTTTGCTCACAAAGACCTGACTTTCTCCGGCAACAGTTAAGCAGCGTCACAGCAGGCTTTGGCTTTTTAAAGCTTTTTGTTGTTGTTGAATGTCAACAATTTCTATTCAAACCATGTAGTCTGAGGAAATTTTCGGAGCAGTACAACAGCTACTGTTTCAGATATCTGAATCATAGCATTTTGTTGCTGTTCTTGGTAAAGATGTGAAAGCTCGCCCAGACAGTAAGGAATTGGCAAAAACCTGAAAGACTCACAGTCCCTGTCAAGCCAGCCAGCATCCATTGCAGATAATCATTACTGTATCAAAGATGAGATTGAGGAAAATGGAACAAAAGAAATTGTATTGGTGCTGTCTGACTACCCTCCAGATACAAAAGGGGAGCTGTGCTTTCAGAGTTGAGTGAAGAAATTCTGTTACCCAATGCAGCTGTGTTTTTTTCCCTTTAATGTCTACACATATATAGTTTTTATGGATATAAATCACGTACTTAAAACAGCAAATGTCAGTACTGATACTGTAACACCTATTAATTTACATTTTTCCCTGTACTTGCACTGCTTTCTCTCCTTTTTATATATATTTTTGTAGCATTAAGAGAGCTACCTGTACAGCAGCTACCACAAATAAGTACAAAGCACCTCAAAAATAAGGACAAGTCTAAATACTCACTCTTTCTCCGCCTGGGCAGTTCTAAATTAACCTGGTTAACAAGGCTTTACTCCATCTGACAGGTAAGAGGCTCCAAGAAAAGCCCTTGGCATGCACATCACCTAGACCCTGCCAAGGTCAGTCCCACACCAGTAGCTTCCAGATCCATTTTTACTTCACAAAAGGTAACTCAAAAGTTTGAGAACCAAATCCTGCATTATTCCCAAATATGTGAAAATAAGAGACTGGGCTTTCTCACTTTGAATCATCTGCAGGTATAAGGATCAAAGTGTGTACTTTAAAAGCCTACAGAAGAACAGGTTAAAATGCTTACTGTAGCACTGGTTTTGGAATAATTTAGTTAAATTCATGTAAACATATGAGACTCGTGTATTTTAATGAACTGAAAAGAGCTAAAATCTTGAGTGACTGTTTTTAAAAAAACAGATTAATACTAAAGATCCATCACATCCTACCAAACAGCAAATTCTCCAGGATATGCACAGCATGTGGTAGTTCTGAACATTTGATCAGTTCACATGGAAATTCCTTCACCAATCAAAGGGAAGTAGTTTCCTCACTTGCAAGCTTTCAGCTTTGCCTAAGACCTTCTTCTTGTTGTGAGGCAGCTGGGTTCACAGAGAATATGCCTTTAAAGGCTGTAAAAACGCTGGTTTTTTAATAGCTTTGTCAAAGGTGGAGCTCACTTCCATTCTCAGGAAGGAGGTAGCCAAACCAAGGCCCAGCTGATTTTAGGATACAGGTAACTATAAAACACAAACAGGAAGAAAATCACAGGTCAAAAGCAAGGGATTTAGAGGGAGATACAAAGAAGAGCCATAGAGCAACTCCTGTCCCTCAAGGCAGTCAGTCACCTTTTTTATCTTCAGTAACAAAACCCTGAGTGGCAAAGCAGATGTCCCAGCATGTTTTCTCTTCTTTGGCATGACAGAAGCCACCTTGGACAAAAGGGGGTTAACATAGAGGTCTCTCAGCTTCCTGGGAGCCCTTGGTGGGGCTGTAAATATGAGGAACTGAATGGAAAAATGCAACAAGAGCATTAATAAGAGTCTGTGGTGGGAAAAGGGCACAGCCTGGTATGTACCCTTCTACCACGTGCTCTGGAGTTTGGTTAATGGGACACCGTCCGGACAATGTCAGACACACAGAAGCAGCTGGAGAAGCTCACAGGAACAGGGAAACACCCATCTGTACATTTTGCTCAAGGTAAAAGCTCCCAGGGCACCACCTCATGTGCTAAGGAAACGCCACAACACTCACCTGCCTTCCAGCCAGTCCCAGCAGCACCCAGCAGCAAAGTGCTGAGGGGCCACCTCCAACCCACACACAGGGCTGTTCAGCAAGACTGGGCTTGTTCAGGTTGATGTGTTCTTTTGTTTGGGTCTGTTGTTAATTTTACACTTTCCATTCTTTATTTTGAGTTTGGTAACCTACAATAAATTAATGTTATATAACGTACTTTGCAATCTTCATATGTAAGGAAGAATATGTTAGCATCCAAGGATTATCTTCACCAGCATTTTACAAATTCCTTTATTAAATAGAACCCCTCAATCACCACTTTATCCAATCTTTCTTGCCTTAAAATTGTTTTACTTGCACTGTTAATTATCAACTTTCAACAGATCCACCTTTTCTTTTCACACACATTATACCTTGTTTAAAAAATAAAAGACAAATTCCTGTTTTCACTTAATCTAAGCAAAGAGAGAACTGAGCCGAGCTATCATGTGAATTTCTAAGGCATATACCAGTCTTGACTGCATCTCCAAGGTATTTTCATGTCTTCTGATATACTATGGAGATCGCAGACAACAATTCTTAATTTCACTTTTATGTTTGCATGTATCTTAATTGCAATTTATTTGCACAGGCACGCCATTTTATAAAGGAACTTATATTGGATTAAGTAGCAAGAAAGACATTTATCCATTATTTCAATGGACAGAGAAAAAAATAGTAGTTGCCTCAAAATGTTCTGTGACTGATCTGCTGATTTCCTTCCTTATGTTCTCAGTCCCACTTGGAAGTTTTCCTCCTCATATACCTGGACCCCTCACTGTCAATGGCTTCATAAAGGTCCTTTTTATTCTCTGCTGTTGCATGCAGATAACCAAGGTAGGCCACACAGAGGGTAATTGCTGTGAGTCCAAATGCCATCACAGGTTTGTTCTGACAAGGAAAAAAAAATCAGTACATCCTTTTAGTGAAAGCAATTTTCATTCAACACAAACATTACATTCTTCTATCTTAGCTTAGAAAGTGAACAGTAAACTATTGTGACAGCTGCAAAAATCATCACTGCCTTCTTGCAGGCTGATCCAAGTAACTTTAATAAGCAGCAAGAACAGAGACCTGATTTCCTGATAGCAAAAGGAATTTGCTATGAAAATGAGGACTCTCCTTCTGGGTACAGAGTATCACATTGCCCAGTGCTGTGTCTCTTGCTGGTCACAAATGCTGCTTGAGCATGCATGAACTGGCCAAAACCAATTACTAAAGGTTACTACTACAAACCTCTAACAGAATTAATCTGGCTATAATACTGGGACAATGTCCCCTGCTCCTGCCAAGCAACTTTAATTATATTCCTCTAAAACAGATCATGTATTATCATCATAAGATCTACTTTTATTATATACACAAAATTTCATCCAGTCTTGCTGGGTTCTGCTAATATAAGTAACACATGAGTATCATCAACTTAATTATAAAAGCAAGAAAAAGAAAAATAAGAACTATGGAAAAGCTACCAAAATTCCCCTCCTTTTATAGAAAAGCTTGCATTTTGTGATTTGTTCCCTTTTAAATATTAAGCAGGACTCCTATTACTTAACCTATCAAATTACATGAGTAATATGCCTGTAAACAGTCCTGAAAGCAATCTGGCTAGGTACAAAAGAATCAGACAATGTAACAGTGAAATAAAAGCTGGAATAAACAATGTAATATTCTGGACTCTTAAAAATCAGAGGGGAAAAAAAGGAAAAATTTATTTAGTTATGTTATTGGGTGGTTTGCATAACAAGAGATCGTTATATAATGCACACAGAATCACAATGATTATCTTAAAGCAACTGTGTCTCTTCTTCAAGCATATTTAGTTTCTCTCCGAATGAGCCTCTTACAGGTTTAATGAAAAGCTCTGGGTTCACAGCTCGGAAAAGCATAGTTGTTTGAACACTCCTCAGTCCTGGTTTTCTCTCTTTAGGTGTTTCATTTTCACTTGGAGGTTTGGTAGAAGACATTTTAGTTAATGTTGAATACTTCCTAAAACAGAATGAAAAATAAATGGCATTTTTATAAAAAACTGAAAGAACTGCATTCACTGAATACAAGTTCATGCTCAGGTTGTTTTCTTACAGCATGAATTTTAAATTGTGTATATATCAACGACTGCCTTTGGTGTTACCTAACATTCCCAGATTAAGCTCACTGCTTTTTAATCTTGTCAATTTTGTGCATCCTAAAATTAACTTTCGGGAGATGCACATCTTTACATAGCAAATCCAAGCCTCCTGATAACAGGCCTGGGTTTTTTTACTTGCCTTTGGGTAATGCTTGAGCTACCTGTGGACCAAGCAGCAGTCTTCAGACCACTGGCTAAAAAGACAGTGCCAGGGCACTTTTTTCCTGTCGCCTTCCCCGAGCCAGGACAGCCCACACCCATTGTAGTGCACTCTATTCACCCACCCCAGCAGCCCTAGGACTCGGGTCTCTTTTACACAAAAGGGGCACCTCATTTGCAAGATGCCACCCAAGGAAAGACAAACAAAACACACCCTTGGTTAACCCTGCTCACCGAGGGGCAGAGGACACACAGTACTAAGGACGCTCCTGCCCTGTAGTTTACACAAGTGGAGCACAACTGGGGGCCCAGGGACAGGGTCCACAAAGTCAACTCAGCAATCGCCCCGAGTCCTCCTCCTCCCGCAGGGCCATAGGCAGAGCAGTAAGGTCAGGGCAGCCTGGAAGTCGACTAA